GCCCGGCCACTATGGAGGAAGCTCCCTTGCTGTGGGCGTGGCCAGCCTCAGGCTCTGCTCTGCTATGGTGGGGTCACTCCAGAGGGGGAACGGGCAGGGGTCTCAGAGCTGTGCTGCTGCCCAGAGGGTTCGGGAGCCCAAAGTTCCCCGTGATTCCCAGCTACTGGGCTAAGTGTCCTAGGATGCTTCTGTCCAGCTGTGAGTTTCCTGTCCGTTTAAGACTTTCAAAAAGCACTCGCTTTTCTTTGTCCCGGGTACGCCGTCTGTGGGGATCTGCTCACAGGTCTTACTGTCCTGTTTCCCTAGTATCCGGCACCTCACACACTGTGTGACTGCGTTCTCAATGCGGATTTGTAGGGCTGGGTGTTTAGCAGTCCTGGGCTCCCTCTCCCTCCCCACTCCCACTCCTCTCCTCCGCCAGGAGCAGGGGTGAGGGGCGCTCAGGTCCCGCCGGGCCACAGCTTGTATTTTACCCCCTTTGTAATATGCTGCTTTCTCGCAGGTGTAGATGTAGTCTGGCTGTTGTCCTGTGTCTTCTGGTGTCTTTTTTAGGGATAGTTGTATTTGTTGTATTTTCAAAAATATATCTGTTTTTGGGAGGAGATTCCCACTGTCCTACTCACGCCGCCATCTTGGCTCCGACTCAGAAAAGTGATTACTTTTGAGAAAGATTTTTATCTCTATTTTGCATTTTTCATTTGACTAGGTGCTTCGATTCAGTCCACCCTTGGTGCCAATGGAGTTATATTAGACAACCAGCCTACAGTCAAAAAAAGGAGAGGAAGGAGAAAGAATGTAGAAGGTGTTGACATCCTCTTTTTTAACAGAAATAAACCACCTAATCATGTAAGTAGAGCAATACTTAAAACTACTGATCCTTGAGTCCAAAATATTATCTTCATAAATATACATATTACTATTCTGTGGATGTTTTGTAGAATAATGATAGGATAATAGGAAATAATGGGAAATCTGAGTTATAATACATCATATTAGATTGTGTATCAGTAGAATCCAACCTTCTCCTATATTCATGAAAAATTTTAATTTGAAAGATGAGAATTTTAAACAGCAACTGAACATTTTTTTCCTCTTCAAAAGAACTGTTTCAGTGGACCAAAATTAGAATGATAAAGCATGGGAATAAAATTTTCATTTGGTATTTTTCTACAGGTTTCTTTAGGCTTATCAACCTCACAGATTTCTACAGGGATAAATCCATCACTATCCTATACTCAACCTCAAGGAATTCCTGATATAGAAAGTCCAGTTCCAGTTATTAATCTTAAAGATGGGACAAGACTTGCAGGTGATGATGCACCAAAGAGAAAGGATTTGGAAAAATGGCTTAAGGAGCACCCGGGTTATGTGGAAGATTCAGGAGCTTTTATTCCTGTAGGTGATACCTTACAAATCTTGGTATATTTTATTTCTGTGATTTCATCAGATCTATAATAATGTCGCATAAATTCTCACCCACCTAAGCAAAATAGGTTTTGCCCAAGGTTTAGGGAAATTAGAAGAAAAAAGTAATTGCCATCTTCCTCATGACACTATACAGTATTTCCTTTGGTACTACATTTTCCAGTTTTGTATTCTTATTCAATAGGTAGTTGAACAAGAAAAATCACCTCAGACATATAGAGTACTCTATTAGACCCAGTGAAGGCTGTAAAGATTTAAAACTTCCAGTCCCTTCCCACAAGGAGTTTATTTTAAAGTAGTAATGATCATAGTAAGAGTTTACTGAGACTTATCTGTATTCCTGGCATTATACTTAGCCCTTAACATACATTTTCTCATTTAAAACTTGTAACACCTTTATCAGAATGATACTGAAATTTTCATAGTCTAAGGTCACTCTAATGTCTTAAATCCAGTGTCCAAACTACTACTTTAAAGCTCTTCTTTAAGCTATAAGAATACAGCTTCTGTATCTCTCCACATGCTTGTGTTCACGTTAATCAAAGATGAGAATTATAATATTTTATTCACATTCTCCTTATCCTCTGAAATATTTTGTACTGTTTTATGGCATGTGGCTTTCTCAGAAATATATTATTTCATTTTGCAATACTTTATCATTTGCCATTGTACCAAATTTTGTAACAGTCTCCCTTGACATTTCTACGTACTTTATAAGGTAAAAGATTAAAAGGCATTTCTTCTATATAGTTAGTTAGCAGGTGTGTTTAACCTACTTTATTTTTAAAATTTAATGGATAACTCAGTAAAGCTGTCCACTATCCTGGGAGCTTCTTCAGGACTATGTCCTATTCACCTTTGTGTTCCCCAGACTTAAGCACAGAATTCCTGATACACAGAGTAATACCTAGCTCCCTGTTAATATTTATTGAGTCAATGATTAAAAAATGAAAATCTTTTGAAGACTAAAAAGCACAATATAGAGGTAAAGTGATTGCTACTGTATTAACAGAAAAAATTATTTATTCCTCATCATTTTTTCATGAAGAGGAACCATAAAAGCCCTACAGTGCTCTTTGTAACTGTAAGATTTTTAGTCTTTCATTTTACATTGCCATTGTTGATACCAGGAAATAATCTAGTAGTGTAAAACAGTGCCTCAGTCTTGGCTTTTGGATGCCTTTCATAGCTCTAGTTTCCTCAAAGAATGGCACTGATTCTCAAATGAACCTTCATTTAATTCCCTTCTTTATAAAAAAAGGCAAAATAAAGCTGATAATTATGAGGAAAGGGATCTTCACTAAATGTGATGGGCAATCATAGAATGAATATTCCAATTCTAAGACTAACAATCATTAGTTTAGCCCATAACTTCTCAACCTGTGAGAAAATAACATTCTTAAGTCAGTACATTTTTATTGGGTAACTACTGTGTGCCAGTTACTATTTTAAGGGATTGGGGATAATAATATAAAGTTCTTGCCCTCATGACACTTACACTCTAGTTTCTGAAGGATTCTCATCCTTAGCACTGCAAATAAACCTTTTATCATAATATCTTACATAACACCATATATTGTTAAGATTTTAAAACTTTTTTAAAAGCAGCATCTGTTATGGTAAAGAAAACAGGATAATGATTTGTTTGATTTCCCAGGGATACTTTTACACTAATATTTTCTTGGCTGTCATGTTACATATGGTGTATATATATTACAACAAAGGCATGTATAAAGTGCCAAAGAAAGATAAAGGAATAATTACTCTGCCTAGGCAGACTAGTGTATCTAGGGTAAGATAGAAAATGGAGCTGACTGGTGGATGATAAAAGAATAAATAGGCATTTGACCAGCTTAATAAAAAGGGAGGGTATTCTAGGCACTTGTGAATAAAGTTAAAAGATAGTACTATAAGGGATATTCATAAAACACTGACTAGAGAAAAGGTGAATTAGGTCCTGGCTGTGATAGGGCAGGTATGCTGGGCTGGAGAGTTTAAACTTTAGTATCGCAGAAAGTTCTTAATGATTAGAAATAGCTACAGACATCAAATCCTGCTTTGTTAAGTTGTAGAAGTAAGCTGTATGGATTGATGTAAAATAACTTTTTATTGCCAGATGTTGCCACTGGCTAGCTGCATGACCTTAACGAGTATAACCTCTCCAAGCCTTGATTCCCATTTGAAAAATAAGAATAACGTCTTTTAGTATTGTGAGGATTACATGAGAGGAGATAGGAAAGACTATAAGTGAGATGAAGGGGAAAGAAAGCCACTAGCACAAATACACATTGTGTCGGCACAGAGAAAATTGGGTATCCCAGGTGAAATGTAGTAGGAGAAAATGTAAACAACTGTAAGGTTTGGAGGAATCTGCTCCAGCATTACTGGTAACTCCTTCAAGTAACACACTGGGAGTAAAGCATTAAGGAAATAACGTCGTTGTCCTTTAGGAGCCAGTGGGAGGAGCGGACTTTCATACAGAATGATAATTTTGGTCATTATGATGGCCTTGAATAATTGTTTAAGTATGTAATTCAAGGAAAATATTTATGTAATAATTTTTTATCATATTTAACATTTGTATTACATAAATATTAAAATAGTTGAAGTTAAAATATTTCTAAAATGTAAAGGGTAAATTCTTCAATATTACATGTATTAAAGATAAAATATATAAAATAGGAATATCTTCAATATATAGCATATCTTACATACATCTTCAATATTGTGGGATTAAACTATTGGATCAGCTCTTATGTACTATTTACAGATAAAGATTTTTAAGGTATTTTTTTGTCTATATATTTTAGAGAGTGCAGCTCCATGAGGGGAGACCCAAACAAAAAAGGCATCGTTGCAGAAACCCCAATAAACTAGATGTTAATAGTCTCACTGGAGAAGAACGTGTTCAGCTGATTAATAGAAGAAATGCCAGAAAGGTATTTATATTTATTGTTAACCTTTTATTCTTTAGAAAATTATCATTATGCAATATTTTCTAACAGACCTGGATATAAGTTAAGCCTCACAGATCTGTGGGAAAGGACATGGACTATAATTTTATACAGTCTCATTTCAAATCCCACATCTTTGGCTGAGCTATTAAATGAAATAAGCAAGTCACTCTACATAGCTGTGCATAATCACTGGCATTGCACAAGGGCACTATATCTAAGGTAGTGGTTCTTAACAGAGTACATTTGGTAATGTCTGGAGACAGTTTTGGTAGCCACAACTTAGGGCTTGGGAGGTGGTAGGCAGGGGAAGGAAGGTATGGGCATCTAATGGGTAGAGGCCAGGATGCTGCTAAACTTCTTACAGTATGTAGGACAACCCACACAATACCTATCTAAGATATCCCCTTTCACCAGGGGATACCATTCTCATCATAGCCACCATAGATTTATATATTATCACCATAATTTCCATCAAATGGCCATAAAATGTCTTATTCTTTCAAAGTCAGCATTCTACATTATGTTCTAATAAATGTAAACAAGATGTCTTAAAGATACCTTGTAGATTAATGATACCCCTGTGCTTATCTTCTTGCTTCATTGACTGATGAATAGTAAGAGTCAGGCTTTTCCAAAGTTTACTTGAGAACCAAACGTGGCTCAACATCTGTTTTCCCAAAGTGTTTCTGTTTTATGTTTGGATAATACCTATCTCTTTTACCTCACAAAGTAAATGATAGAACTCTTGTGGCATCCTTTTGTAAGTTTATATAGCTTTGATATTTTTATTCTCTTTTTTATTGATGAGCAAACAACAAAATAAGAAAGATAAAATGACATCAGAGTAAGAAAAGCAAATTTCTCATTGTTTCTTCACTGCAAGTTAAATTACCTTATAGGGCATGTCAATTCCCTTCAGCTTTGATGTTGAATTATTTCACTGCTAGCATAAAAATACATAAAGTATCATTTGAATTTCTCAGAAGAAATAATGGGATTGGAAGAAAACTAGTTTTAGAATAACAGTTGTTTTAACATTGTGTGCACCATCTCATTTTTCCTTTATTTTTGTAGAGATAGCTTATTCAGCTTTTGATTGTACTTTAAAGTGATGTCATATTAGGGAGAGAACAGGATGGCATTTTAGGAGCATTTAATTTGTGTTTGCCTAGAGGGTGTTAGAAATCTTTGCACTTCATCTTACAACAAAATTAGCATTGCTAGATATGAACCAATTTGTCTCAGCCAATTTTAAGGAACTGGAACAATTTTCAGTTTTTACTTGTTAGGCTTGATATTAAATACTCTAAATTTTATTTTTAATTCTGATAGTCTGATAAAGGTTCTTTTCTTTTACCTTACTTTTATAGAGGTCTTTATTGTCCTGAATCTCTAAAGTACAGGCCTAAGGACTGATGAGTTACTGAGGAAGAGAATTTACCTGCTAAATCCTCATAAACCACCCAAAGTGCCTCCAGATTAAATTGGAGCTTAATTTAATGAAGGGGATAATAAAAATAGAAGGCAACAGAAACTACAAAGGCTAAGTAAAGATTATAGGAAATCTTCTTACATATACTTCTTAGAGAAGAATACTTACAGGTGCTACAACTAGCCATATTAAACCCATCTATATCCTATCATTCATGCAGAGTTATACAAGAAGGAGTTACTCAAGAAATATTGTTAGACTCCAAAGCAACATTAAATTGGTAGATACCAATTGTTTAAATTTGAATCATTTAAATTTCAAAATATTTCGTTTCAATGTCATGCTAGTTATTATATGCCTTTTTAATTTTTTCAGATTTATAATTAGTTGGTTATATCATTTTTCACATAACAAAGGATATGTATATTTTTATACTTTATGGTGTCAATTTACATAAAAGGTGAAAGCAGGGGCTTTTGAGACCTGAGTTTGCAACCTGACCCTAACGCTTACCAGCTAGCTTTAGATTACTTACATAACTTCTCTTAAGTTTTGTTTCTTCATCTGAAAAATAGAAATAATAGTATCTCAGAAAGATGTATGGAGAACTAAAGTAAATTACATAAAGCCCTTAGCACAATACTTGGCATATAATAATAATAATAATAATAATAATGTGTTTAATGTTCTAGACCCTATGCTGAGGCACTTGAATTGTCTCATTTTGATCTTCATAAACTCTGAGAGGGAAGTATTGTTACTCCCCCATTTTACAGATCTGTAAACCAAAGCTCAAAGAGATTTATTGATTTGCCCAAGTTCACGTAGCCTGTAAGTCTGAAAGGTGTGTGTGTACTCTTAACCAGGCTCTGCTGCCTATACAAATAGTGAGTGCACAAGAATTGGTAGTTACTCATTGTACTGTTCTTGTTACTCTACTTAAAACAGTTTATGTAGTACATTAATAGTCCTTATAGGTTCTGGTAATTCTTTTTAACAATAAAGATTGTCAAGGAGTACATGATTTTAAAGAAGTAAACTCTGTATCCAGAACAGTCTGCCAGAGCTTCCAGAACATGCTATAATTTCAGATGTCCTGTAATTGGAGGTAGGATTTTCTAACTTAATGAAAATAAAGACAAAAAATAGACCAAGTGACAGGTCGAGAAACTACATAATATGTTCTGTGCTGTCACGATCCTGGATTTGGAGGCTTTGGTGTGAGATTGCAAATGAATTTCCTCTCAAAGATGTAAGACCATTATTAACCTTAAAGAATTAATAACTTTAAAGAATGAAATAATGATTTTAAAAAAAGAAAAAGAACTAAACTATATAGCACAGAATAAAAACAAGAACTGTCTCCATATTTAATACTGTTTTTAAGTGTCTAACAATCTGTTTTTCATTTATAGGTTGGAGGTGCATTTGCTCCCCCTTTGAAAGATTTATGTAGATTCCTGAAGGAAAATTCAGAGTATGGAGTAGCTCCTGAATGGGGAGATGTTGTTAAGCAATCTGTGAGTATTTCATAAATAATAAGTCAAGATATCATTTTAAAAATTAGATGCCATTTAATTATATTTTAGATTGAATTTTAAGTTAAGGATTAACAAAATATCCCATGAACATGTAATAGTGTGCTTTAGTTCACAATTTTTATTTTGCAGGACATGTTATAAATTTCTCAGTTACTTGTTGAGTTAGAATGCAGGGTCAGTATATACTTAACCTGTTTTTATTTTAATCTGTAAGATACTCTGATCAATGCTGTAAAGGATAATCAAAGACATGGGAAAAGAAATTATATATTATTCATAGTATAGTAGTAAAAAATTGCAAATATAGTAATGGTCTATCATATATTGGAAAATTATGCAACTATTTAAAAAATTATATCTTAGAAGAACATCTAATGACAAGAGAAAAAGCTCACAATGTTAACTTGGATAGTAGATAAGCTAGCTCTTAGAATAGCAAAGCCTAGCCATGTGGTAAATGCTGAGTAAACAGCTATTTCTACAGGTGTCTAGATAAAAAGGCAGGTTATAAAACTATATTCCATAGATGATTCTGTTCTTTATTTTAGAAAGGGAGGTGGCGAGAATTTTAGAATCTGTATGTATGCACAAGGAAAAATGTGGAAGCATACATTCTGAAGTGGTTATAAGCATGTTTATCTCTGAATGGGGAAATTATGATTTCTTTTTGTTACCATGTTTTCTGACAATGCTTTTCTAAAGAGAGTAAGTTGATTGATTTAAAACAGTTTAAAAAGAACAGTTTAAAACCACCCTCCAGAGCTACAGTCACAAACAGTGTATTTCTGCACTATAAAGTAAGAGGTGTTGTAAATGTAAAACATGAGTTTGGATTTTGAAGACTTCGTTTGGAAAAAAGAATTTAAAATGTCTCAATTTTCATAGAGCATTAAGTAATGTTTTTGTTATATTATGAATAGACTGTATTACTAAAATCAGTATCATCTGTTTCTGCTTTACCTTTTTTAATGTGGCAACTAGAAAATTTTAAATTACATGTGTGGCTTACACTGTATTTTTATTGGACAGTGCTGGTCTAGAGTTTCTAAACTCCTAAAACTTCTGTGAGTTTTGAGCCTCAGAAAATTATGAGACAGTTCAAGAAAGTATGATAATGACTCTCCGTTGTCCCGGCCTACAAATGTACTTCTGTTTTAAGCCACGTGATTTTTCTCCCTCCCTGTTAAGTATCCTTTTCAGCATGGCTCAATCTCCCCTATTCTCAAACTGATAATCATAAGAGTATATATAGCATCTCATGTTAACCTTAACCTTTTACTTACTTCCTTTTATTCTTTCCTTATTATTCTTCCATATTAGAAGAGGGGCACTCCTTTGGTCTTTCATAGCAGTTGGTATAAAACATGTAAGGGCATAGAAGTAACCCTCATGAGCAAATTCCTTTGGACCTTCCATTTTATAGAACTGTTCTACAAACTTACGCCTCACAATATGGAAGAAGACTAGTGGCCCCATTCTGCTCTTATCCTCTGATAAAATGAAAAGTTTAAGAGCTGTTCTAAGCCACTACCTACAATATTATAAAATTAGCTTATCTATTTCACAATTGATTATATTACATCAATACATAAGTCATTTATGAATAATTAACTATTTTTGGTAAGTTACTTGTAATTAGGATTAATTTTTTTTTTCAGGGATTTCTTCCAGAAAGTATGTATGAACGTATACTCACTGGTCCTGTTGTGAGAGAGGAAGTAAGCAGGCGAGGGAGGAGGCCTAAAAGTGGAATTGTGAAGGCCACAGCAGCAGCTGCAGCTGCAACCACCTCCAGGGTGCCAGGCAACCCTCTGCTAGCCAATGGATTACTTCCAGGCGTGGATCTCTCCACTCTTCAGGCCTTACAACAAAACCTACAGAACTTGCAGTCACTGCAGGTCACTTCGGGGCTAATGGGAATGCCTGCTGGCCTTTCTTCCCGAGGAGAAGCTAAAAACGTGGCCGCCATGTTCCCCATGTTGCTGTCAGGAATGACTGGGTTGCCAAATCTGTTGGGCATGGGAGGACTCCTGACAAAGCCTGCAGAATCTGGAACAGAAGGAAAAAATGGAAATGACTCTAAGGAGCTAGAAGGAAAAAAAGAAAGGACAGAGAACCAAAATTCAGAGAATGGCGGAGAAAACTGTGTGACAAGTTCTCCTTCAGCATCCTCTACTGCTGCATTGAACACAGCTGCAGCTGCCAGCCCGCTAGCTCTTAACCCTCTGTTACTTTCTAACATACTTTATCCAGGGATGCTTCTCACTCCAGGCCTTAATCTTCATGTTCCAACTTTGTCTCAGTCCAATACTTTTGATGTACAGAAAAACAAAAAGAGTGATTTAGGCTCATCTAAATCTGTAGAAATAAAGGAAGAAGATTCCAGAGTTAAAGATCAGGAAGACAAAGGGGGAACTGACCCAAGTCCCCTCAATGAAAACAGCACAGATGAGGGTTCAGAGAAAGCCGACGATGCTTCATCTGGATCTGATAGTACATCATCGTCATCTGAGGATTCAGATTCTAGCAATGAAGACTGATTCCCAGCCTGCACTTAAATTATGAACTGATTTTGGATTTTTTCTTTAATTATTAATTGTAAATACCCCAGTGTTGAGTGCATCAATAACTTCCCGATCATTTCAGTTATTTGTTTAGAAGTGCAAACTGCTTTCAGAGACGTTTTGCATGTAATATTTCTTAAGTTTCTGAACTCGTATGTACTATCAAATACATAAAGGTGTAAAATTACAACAAAAGGCATTATAATTTTGTTGGGGGTTAATTTTATGAAAATTATGCTCAATAAGAGTTGTATATTTAATATATTTGCAGTGAACACAGAATACTTTATGCATATTACTGATTTAATTTGAATATAGTTTTACAGCCTCCTTGACACCTATAATTTACAGATCAAAACTCAGCAATAATTTGGGCAGCTAATGAATGTCATGAAAGCTGTAGAATCTACATCACCATCCATTGCTTTAATTACATGAAAATGCTCTAGTGTTGTGATGCACTGCTGATGTTTCCAATTCAGGTACAAGTGTGTTTTAAAGAAGAAATAAGTTTCCCAATCAGCCAATTTAACTGGCTACCTGTTACCTCAGCTGAGTTAGTTTAGGAAGTTTACATTCGTTTCTAATTCTATACTTGTTTTCAGGGGTTTTTTAAACACATCCTATGTATCATGTTAATCTGGCAAGAAATAAGACTTGATTTTTGCTGAGCTTAACTCTGATGTCAGTAAAATTAAGTCAAAAATAATCCTGTGTCATGTGACTTTGGCACCTTCTAGACATAGTTTTAACTTTTCAAAGTTTGGCCTCCTATTAGAAATAATTGTTTCTCAGATGAGTAATATCTCTTCCCAGGGTTCAGACAAGGCAAACTCATGAAATGCCACTGAAAAGAACTTTGAACACAGCATACTTCATGTAAAAGAAATTGTTTGTTTGCTTTATTTGTGTAGATTTGTATTTTATGTCATGGAAATATTTCAAAATTAACAGATAATAGTGGTAAAGTAATATACAGATAGTCTAAATTCATTTTGAGTTTCTAGGTATAAGCAAACTAAATGTTGCCCAGAATCAGTGTTGGATTATCAGTTTATATTAAATATACTGAGTTGCCCATTGTGAAAATGCACTTTGAATAATCTCAAAAATATATACAATTTATATCTCTGTAAACGACAAAAATGAAGCCCAAGGCTTCTGATCAATTTCTTAGACCCCTTTACCATGTAAAATTTGTCTGATATTTGATTTGTCACACAATTTCTCCTGCTAAAGCTGCTATTATTCTGACAAGGTGAAGAGGTCCAGGTTCACTTTATAAACATTTAAAACAATTAAAACTGAAGTGGAAATGAAATACAATTTACATTCTGAGGAGAGATAGATGTTAGCATTTTTCTGATGCTTGAATAAGTCAGTGATAAAGTTGTGAGGGGATAAATTTAGGGGGGAAAAAGCACCCCACTTCTCCCACAGAAAATAATACCTTTCAGTATATTTTGATAGAACTCTGTTGCTTTGTCATGAATTAAGTAATTACATTGGATTTTCCAAGACCTTTACCAGTAAATTATGTTTCTGTTATGTAAAAATAACTAATCCCTTACTAGAGAGACAGTGTTATATGTATTACAAAATTATATAAGTTCCATTTGGATTGTGTTGATTTTTGTATTCTCCCAAAATAGTACTTTGAATTGATAGTCCTTTAAGCAATGTCTTAGCAATAGGCACTCTAATGCCCTTCCAGGAGAAGTGGGTAGTAATTCTTCATCATGAAAATGATATATTACATATTTAGTATCTTCCCCTTGCAGTATTGCACTTTTGTTTAACTAGAATACACCTATGAGATAGCCAAAGTTTCAAACACACTTAACTTAGTTTGCTGATGGAGTATTTCAATACCATCCATCTTTCCTTTCCCTCCCTCTAGTTGTACCCACATGATCTCTATTCTTTTCTTTCCCCAATTTAAAAAGAAAAAAAGAAAAAAAAAACCTTAGATCTTCTCACTAAAATCTAATTTATATCAAATTTATGATATAAAGTATTTTCCTAATTATGGTCAAGTGAATTTGGTTAACATCTTAGTGATTCTCTTTTTATGTAATAAGGCAATTGCAGTTTTCAAAGCATTAAGGCTAATATGAACTTTAAACATTCTCTTAGGTTTCAAGATACTTCTATTTAGTATTGATTGGGGTAAAAGTCCAGCTATCAGTTTTTTAAAAAATGCAAATATGGTTGTGTAAGGTTAAGTAAGGGTTACAAGGACAAGAATCTGTAGAATTACATAATAACTGAAGTTGCAGTTGAAAGGATATCCAAGTTATGTGTTGGTAGTTACTAAAAGAGTTATAGCTGTTATTGCCTTGTATTTATAGCCCTTGTTTCAGGTTTCATGATTCAAGTCTTAGTCCAATTTTTCTTTTGGACATTTGCAATATAATGAGGGTTCAGAGAAAGCCGACGATGCTTCATCTGGATCTGATAGTACATCATCGTCATCTGAGGATTCAGATTCTAGCAATGAAGACTGATTCCCAGCCTGCACTTAAATTATGAACTGATTTTGGATTTTTTCTTTAATTATTAATTGTAAATACTCCAGTGTTGAGTGCATCAATAACTTCCCGATCATTTCAGTTATTTGTTTAGAAGTGCAAACTGCTTTCAGAGACGTTTTGCATGTAATATTTCTTAAGTTTCTGAACTCGTATGTACTATCAAATACATAAAGGTGTAAAATTACAACAAAAGGCATTATAATTTTGTTGGGGGTTAATTTTATGAAAATTATGCTCAATAAGAGTTGTATATTTAATATATTTGCAGTGAACACAGAATACTTTATGCATATTACTGATTTAATTTGAATATAGTTTTACAGCCTCCTTGACACCTATAATTTACAGATCAAAACTCAGCAATAATTTGGGCAGCTAATGAATGTCATGAAAGCTGTAGAATCTACATCACCATCCATTGCTTTAATTACATGAAAATGCTCTAGTGTTGTGATGCACTGCTGATGTTTCCAATTCAGGTACAAGTGTGTTTTAAAGAAGAAATAAGTTTCCCAATCAGCCAATTTAACTGGCTACCTGTTACCTCAGCTGAGTTAGTTTAGGAAGTTTACATTCGTTTCTAATTCTATACTTGTTTTCAGGGGTTTTTTAAACACATCCTATGTATCATGTTAATCTGGCAAGAAATAAGACTTGATTTTTGCTGAGCTTAACTCTGATGTCAGTAAAATTAAGTCAAAAATAATCCTGTGTCATGTGACTTTGGCACCTTCTAGACATAGTTTTAACTTTTCAAAGTTTGGCCTCCTATTAGAAATAATTGTTTCTCAGATGAGTAATATCTCTTCCCAGGGTTCAGACAAGGCAAACTCATGAAATGCCACTGAAAAGAACTTTGAACACAGCATACTTCATGTAAAAGAAATTGTTTGTTTGCTTTATTTGTGTAGATTTGTATTTTATGTCATGGAAATATTTCAAAATTAACAGATAATAGTGGTAAAGTAATATACAGATAGTCTAAATTCATTTTGAGTTTCTAGGTATAAGCAAACTAAATGTTGCCCAGAATCAGTGTTGGATTATCAGTTTATATTAAATATACTGAGTTGCCCATTGTGAAAATGCACTTTGAATAATCTCAAAAATATATACAATTTATATCTCTGTAAACGACAAAAATGAAGCCCAAGGCTTCTGATCAATTTCTTAGACCCCTTTACCATGTAAAATTTGTCTGATATTTGATTTGTCACACAATTTCTCCTGCTAAAGCTGCTATTATTCTGACAAGGTGAAGAGGTCCAGGTTCACTTTATAAACATTTAAAACAATTAAAACTGAAGTGGAAATGAAATACAATTTACATTCTGAGGAGAGATAGATGTTAGCATTTTTCTGATGCTTGAATAAGTCAGTGATAAAGTTGTGAGGGGATAAATTTAGGGGGGAAAAAGCACCCCACTTCTCCCACAGAAAATAATACCTTTCAGTATATTTTGATAGAACTCTGTTGCTTTGTCATGAATTAAGTAATTACATTGGATTTTCCAAGACCTTTACCAGTAAATTATGTTTCTGTTATGTAAAAATAACTAATCCCTTACTAGAGAGACAGTGTTATATGTATTACAAAATTATATAAGTTCCATTTGGATTGTGTTGATTTTTGTATTCTCCCAAAATAGTACTTTGAATTGATAGTCCTTTAAGCAATGTCTTAGCAATAGGCACTCTAATGCCCTTCCAGGAGAAGTGGGTAGTAATTCTTCATCATGAAAATGATATATTACATATTTAGTATCTTCCCCTTGCAGTATTGCACTTTTGTTTAACTAGAATACACCTATGAGATAGCCAAAGTTTCAAACACACTTAACTTAGTTTGCTGATGGAGTATTTCAATACCATCCATCTTTCCTTTCCCTCCCTCTAGTTGTACCCACATGATCTCTATTCTTTTCTTTCCCCAATTTAAAAAGAAAAAAAGAAAAAAAAAACCTTAGATCTTCTCACTAAAATCTAATTTATATCAAATTTATGATATAAAGTATTTTCCTAATTATGGTCAAGTGAATTTGGTTAACATCTTAGTGATTCTCTTTTTATGTAATAAGGCAATTGCAGTTTTCAAAGCATTAAGGCTAATATGAACTTTAAACATTCTCTTAGGTTTCAAGATACTTCTATTTAGTATTGATTGGGGTAAAAGTCCAGCTATCAGTTTTTTAAAAAATGCAAATATGGTTGTGTAAGGTTAAGTAAGGGTTACAAGGACAAGAATCTGTAGAATTACATAATAACTGAAGTTGCAGTTGAAAGGATATCCAAGTTATGTGTTGGTAGTTACTAAAAGAGTTATAGCTGTTATTGCCTTGTATTTATAGCCCTTGTTTCAGGTTTCATGATTCAAGTCTTAGTCCAATTTTTCTTTTGGACATTTGCAATATTTACCAGTTGTGTTTTGTGTAGTCTGAATTTGCTTTCTGTAGTTCAGCAAACGTCTTAAAAAGTCATTTGTAATTTATTAAATTACTTTCTATGATGTTCTATAGAGCAAATGGAAGTTTAATTATTTTTTATTAAACATATTCTTTGACTACCCATGATGTCAGCCTCTGTACATGACAATAATTTTTTTATTGAATTTCACATATTTATTTTACTCCAGTTATGGAAGAAACCAGTCATAAATTTTTAAAAGGAAAGTATACTTTAGAAGAACTTCTTTTTAAAAACAGAAGTAGGCTATAATTATATTCACAATATCATTATTTCCTTAATTTTTCTTCCACAAGACCTTTATGAAATCCAGAAAGACTCAAATGTATACCTAACCTCTTAGAAATCTATATTTTTTCCCTTGGTTTTAAAGAGTCTTTGCTAATTCATCTCCATTATTTGTAGTGTTTTTTCTGTAAACGTTTTCCTCTAATTCAAAAATAGAACAATGGAGTCTCATCATACACTCATATATACTTTCATGCTTAGCCTTATTTCTTTTCCATACAATTTAGCATGTAAACACAAGCAAACTACTTCATCTAGTGCTCACCCAGAGGAGCAGTAACATGCATCAGCACTGTAGAGAGAGAATTGGCTGAATGTTTTTGAGAGAAGATAACACTACATATAAAATGACATATTCTATATTTTTGAGCTATAGGAGGAGAAAGTGGTTTTTTACTACAAGTAATGTTCACCATAAACAGTAAACTTAGAACTTAATCTCTACATAAATGCAACTCCATATAAGCTATTTACTTCAAAATGAAAAGCACAGAGAAAAATAATTGAAATCATTTGTAAACCCACCCTGAGAAACAATGTTCATATAGATATCCAGTCTTTCTATATGTATGTTATATACATGTAGTGGGTTGAATATTGTCCTACAAAAATTCATTTCAACCTAGAACCCCAGAAAGTGAGTCTTTGGAAATAGGGTATTAGCAAATATAATTAGTTAGATGCACTCGTACTAGATTAGGGTGAGTCCTAAATCCAATAACTGCTGTTCTCATAAGAAGAGGGGATGCACAGAGACACGGGAGAGGTCATAGGGCAACACAGGCTGGCCTGGGAGCTATAAACTAAGGAACACCAAGATTACCGGCAACCACCATAAGCTCGGAAAGAGGCATTGAACAGTTTTTCCTCCAAATCCTCTAGAGAGAACTAATTTGGCTAACCTTGA